ACTGCACATTCACCTAATGTATATACTATTTATATAATGTTCTTCTTCTACCCCCCCCCCCCCCCCATTTTTGCACATGTCGAGGAGCATTTCAGGTTACATCGTGGCTCAAGAGTTGGGAGTTTGCCTTGTAATCGGAAGGTTGCAGGTTCGAGCCCCGGCTTGGACAGTCTTGGTCGTTGTGTCCTTGGGCAAGACACGACACAAGACACTTCACCCGTTGCCTACTGGTGGTGGTCAGAGGGCCCGGTGGCGCCAGTGTCCGACAGCCTCGCCTCTGTCAGTGCGCCCCAGGGCAGCTGTGGCTACAATGTAGCTTGTCATCACCAGTGTGTGAATGGGTGGATGACTGAATGTAGTGTAAAGAGCTATATAAATACAGGCCATTTACCATTTTTTTTTTACATTTCACTGTGTGTTATACTTGTATAACTATGCTTGTGACAAATAAAGAACCTTGAACCTTGAAAACTAAACACTGCATATTAGCGCAACCACCTCACACCAACTGTCAAACACTGTGGTGGACGGGTAATGATTTAGGCCAGCGGTCTCCAACCTTTTTTACGCCACGGACCGGTTTATGCCCGACAATATTTTCACGGACCGGCCTTTAAGGTGTCGTGGATAAATACAACAAAATAAAACTAGTACCGGTTTTTATTTATTCATAAAACACGTGAAAATACCCAGGAAAACCGAGTTAACGATAAAAACGATAACAAAATAACGCTGAAAACCGATAAAAACCCTGAAAACCATACATTTCACACCTGAGCCTCAACTCTCGCGGCCCGGTACCAAACGACTCACGGACCAGTACTGGTCCGAGGCCCGGAGGTTGGGGACCGCTGATTTAGGCTATAAAAGAAGCCCACACCAACTCAATGACTTCAATTACTTTGCAGTCATTGAGTCAACTGCATACTCTTTATACTCTTATGTTTACTATGAATACCTCTATGTAAACTGTCTCTCACAGCTAAAGTGTGGCAGAAACAGGAAAATGATCTCAAGCACACAAGCAAAATCACAAAAAAGAATAGAATCAAGGTGTTGCAATGGCCCAATCAAAGTTCAGACTGCAACCTGATTGAAATGATTTGGATAAACCATAATAGCGTTGTACATAAATAAATGCCTGCAATCCTCAATGAACTGCAGCAACGCTATGTACTTTAAGTTATAGCAGCTAAAAGTGAGTCATTAGGTGCACTTAGATTCAGACACTGCTTCTGTATTTTGGTTTAATAGTTAAATACATTTTGAAACAATGTAATATGTCATGTGATGTTATTTATCTGTGGTTGTATTTACCTAATTTTACATCCCGGTAAAGACTAAATATTTTTTATTCATGTCCTGACTGGAAAAAAAATCTGAGAAAAAAGTCAGAATTCTGACTTTTCATCAAAATTATTTTTTTTTCAGAATTCTGAGAAAAAAGTCAGAATTCTGACTTTTTTTTCAGAATTCTGACTTTTTTCTCAGAATTAAGGAAAAGAAGAGAAAAAAAAGACGTGCCCACTTTTTTTTCCAGTGGCCCTAATCCTCTTCCGTATAGAACAGACAGAAAATGTACCTTCTCTTTTTAGTTTTTTTACTTTCTTTCATACCATTATTGTAATCTTGGCTTGCAGTATAAACTGTTTCAACTTGCAGTGGAAAACCAACTATATCATATAGCTGTCAAAGTAGTGTTAAGCACTTTGAAGTATAGATAAAGTATGTCCCCACTCAGGATAAAAATAAGTAAGCATTGGAAAAGATGCGTAGACCAGATGGGAAAAACCAGCAAACCACACCTAGCATACAACTCTTGTCTTATCCAGGACACAAAACTAGACTGATGGAGGCATCGGACTAATTTTGGGGTTCAGTATTTTGCCCAAGGACACTTGTGAAGCAGATCAGCCAGACACCTTGCAGTGACTAGCCACAGTCGCCCAGCTTGGCTTTTTCATTTTGGTACAGCAATGCAATCCTGCGATCTTCCCAGGATACAAAATGTATGCAACTGTATATGAGCTCATTAGAGATAATGATTCATAATATCAATTAGCCAGTCAGAAAAAATAGTTTCTCCACAACAGAGTCTGTGGGAGGGACATTAGACTTTAGCACCGACTAAAATTTACTAGGGAACAATAAGTCTGATGTTTACTTAATGAATATAAGTTTTGAGAACAGTATACTGCTAGAGTATCTCTGTTGTAATTAATCATGTTAATAAAAAAGATACAGTGAAAGGTTTCTGTTAGCAATGCCCTTCTATCAAATACGGTGATCTCTAGCAGAGAGGAGAGTAAATGTTTGATGGGCATTTCAGGCAGGAACTAGAGTGAGTGAGATGGAGCTGAGAGCTATTTGATCTATCTTATTTTGAGTCAGACAGTGTAGCTCACAGCTATAATGTCAGGGCAAAAGATTAGATTCCCCATCGGCTTAGCAGTATAAGTGGAAGCACTCGTACAGTTAAACCGTGTATTTTGGGTAAAAGTACCCACTGAAGGTGTAATTTAGTGACCTATTTGAATAGTGATTTGTTTGATGTGGTTCCATTTTTCACTTTATGATATTGCTTTACAATTACTGACTTATTTTATCTCCCACTCACAATTGATGTCTCTCAAACCAATTTCTTTATCTATGTCTTTAGAGGTTTCTTTTAGTAACTTCACTCTTAACCCTCTCAAGGCAGGCGTTGCAGATTTGCAACAGTTAAAAACTAACAACCTGATTACCCCACATACATATTTTATGAGTTTTTTTTACTCAGAAGTACCACTGCAGGACTTGGTTGTGCATTAGCAACAAAAAGTTTAATTTGAGCCTGAGAGGGTTAAATCACACATAATGACACTAGATTATCCACTTGTCTGTTATGTGAACATGCCGTGTTGTTCTGCAGTTCACTCTTAAGCATAAAAAGATTTCCATTTGCAGTAATTGCCCCGACCCCTACTATGTGCATAATTGGAAACCTGGACGTGGGGAGAGGAGCAGCAACAAGAGACAAGAACAGAACAGAGCAGGAGCATGCATGACAACAGATTTGACACTGATGATGGAACGTTATGAAACAGCACAAAAAGGAGGACCTGGAATGAAGGTGGGTTGCAAAGCAGCTTGGAGCATGCAGCAGGCTAAAGCAGCTTAAATAGAGTGTCTTTATAATAACCGTACCTGAGCCTGGATTGTCTGAACTAAAATATATTAAAATGGAATTAAAAACAATTAGGTTTTTATTTCCAGAAAATTATGTTTTCGGTTATAATGCAATATTTTTCACCTCTTTTAAAGCTTTGTTTTCTTCATTGGCGTGGTTATGCCTCCCATCTATCTCTGGGCAAAATATGTGTTTCATACACAAAATATACTTCCTATTGAAATACTTTAACTATATATCCATACTGATGATTTGTATCCATGAACACACACACACACACATGAATTAGATTACTTTTTTGTGACTATTTCATGTTTTCTAATGAGGCCGAGCTGAGTGGAAAACAAGCAACACAACACATCAGGAAGAAGCTGAGAAATCTATATTTTCCTGATTTATTTTGGCCATGTCAACAGACCTGCTAACACTTTGGATCTGTAGCATTCATCAGAATGTGGGAGAAAATGGAGGTCCTGTCATTTATATTCCTGATCCTATATCCTATGTACATTTTTGGATAGTATGACATGAATTTAAAACAAAGTAGTAGTAGTTAGCATCGTCGTCTCACAGCAAGAAGGTGCTCCACCAGCCTGACCGGGCCTTACTGTGTGGAGTTTGCTTGTTCTCCTTGCGTCTGCGTGGGCTCTCTCTGTGTACCCCACTCGTCACCCAGTAACTATGGAATAGACTCTAGCCCCTGCACAGTCCTGAGCTGGAAAGTAAAATGTACGGAGGTAACAAGTTCTGTACTGAGTATTCTGTTTTTTTGTATTGCATATAAACTTGTTTAGATTGAAGATTTTAAACTAAAAATCATCTTTCAGTTCACCATGTGTCATATATTGAATATAGGGATCCAATACATCTCTCTCTGAGAAGGCAGCTTTGATAGATTGCACCCTCTGGCAGGAAGAGCTACACATTAAAGTCCAATGAAATGCAGAGTGGCAGGGGAGCCATGTTTGGCCTCATGATAGTGTTTGGCTATGATATACACTGCATTCCCTGCTTTATGCTCTGAAAGGCACTGTCAGAGAGCTCTCTTTGTTTGTCCAGTATAGGCTCATCCACACCCATAGGGGCCTGTAAGGATATAGATGACTGAGGCTGCACTGCAATTAATGAATTGTTTGTGTAAACTGTGCCTTTAACCTATATCCTTGGTTACCATAACCTTGTTCCTTCGTTTTTTTTTGCAAGAAAAACATCCTTTTGGTGGCATTTTGAGCAACGCTTGATTTGTTCAATTTTTCTTAAAACATCTGATTCGAAACCACAGGGCAAAACACTGAAAATTGCCATATTTCGAAGTACCACACAGATTCATAGTTCAGATTGATCTCATGTCACAAAAGGAGTTTTTCTTTTCCACTTCCATCCTCAGAAGTTGACATGAAATACAATGTACGGGGAGTTGTGCCTCATTGCTCTGACAGCACAGCAGTGACAAAGACACAGCGGATAAACATCCTCCCCTGCATGTCACTTCATGACAGGGTGAAGAAAAACTTTCAGGAGGACAAATTTGGCTTCATGTTCAGAAATTCACCAGATGAACCTTCTGACAACAATAAATGGACAAACATACAAATACCTAGAGTAATCAATAGTCAGCAACACAAAGAAAATATGAAAACAGAGATATTGATTACATTAGGCAAAAAGCCTGAAAGGCAGGGGAAACATGCTTTAGTTTAAAAATTCAGCAAAAGCATTTGCAGTAATACCTATGAAAGGAAGCTTAAATTTATGCTGAGGGGGAATAAAAGCACACATACAAACAAAAAACCAACAACATACACATTACTACAAAAATATTGCCACTCACTTGCGTCCCACAGTGCTCCCATTCCTATGGATGCAAGTCACCTCCCGATTCTGGTAGCCCACCTGAATGTCCCAGAAGGGACTCTCTTGCCGGTTGAGGCGGTTCCTGGTACGCTTCTTCTGGATAAGCTCCCTAGTCTCGGGATCTTTTACTCCTGCCCTCTCCCGGAGCCCTTGCCCTTTGCCTTTCCTGCGTTTAACTTGGCGAGCTGTCCGAGTCTGCGGGAGGGCACAAGAGTTCCACGGTCCAACCCTGAGACTGTACATGCCCTCTGGACCTGTGCAAGGCCCTGGTTTGCAAGACTGGAACTCAGTCAGGTTGGGACAGGCAGCGCCTCCAAAAAGCGGAGGGACTAGGACACTGCGCACTCTGTTCCTGAGGCCTGTTCCACACGTTTTGGAGCAGGATGTCCATGGCGAGTACTCAGAAACCACACAATCCTGAGGGCAAGGGATCAAACATGCCTGCTCTAGACGAGGCTTGGGTTCAAAGTACTCACAGATGGCATCCTCTGCTGGAGATTCGTCTGACTTGAGTATGCAGCCCACCTCCCGGATCTGAATGCCCTCTTCGCCTCCACTGCACGTGAACTGCCGTGGGGCCCCAAAGGTCCTTGCTGATACTGGCACGCACTCATTCCAGGCACCCAGTTTCCAGTCATAAAGGTCCTTGTGCCAGTCGCACACACGGAAACAGTTTCTCTGGTTTGAGGGACGCTGTGCCTGGTCACAGTTGGTGTGAAGTGTTGTCCAGCCATCCACATGGGCACACCAGACTGCCCGGCTTTGGCTGCCACCCAGGCCGCAGTCGCTGCCCATACATCTTCCCCATGGACCTGGGAAACAAATGAACAACCTCAAATCACAATGAAGAAACATAAAACAATAATCCTTTCAGCTTTAAATGACAAGAAAAGCACTCAGGAGCATTGTAAGAAAACTTGTAAGGAAATTCTAAACACAACACATCACAATACGGCTTTGAAGAAGCAGGAAATTATATTAGCAGGAATAAAAGATGCTAGTCAGATTGGAGGAAGTGAAACAAAACAGCATAATGCCACAGGCTGGACTCGATTGAAAGTGTAGAATAAACAAATAAGCCATATTTATCCTAATAATGATGAATGGAAGGCACTAATGCCACTTCATGTGTACCTTTAAAACAGAAATCCATATGGAAGCATCAGTTAATCAAATGCTTGAAACCTAATTCTAAACCAAGACTATTTCATTTTCTTTTTCTCAGCTAAGAAAAAGGCACATAATACATCTTCAAGGATGACACAGTAAATTCACAGACTCCTTTAATATGGCCCTTGATGTAAATGTGCTGAAAAGCTGTCAGCAGCTGAAGTGAGTGCAAAAATGTGTCATATTAAATAAAAATAATCCGCCGCCTTGTTTTTGCACGACACTTCGGTCAGACACAGTGATTCTTTCTGCATGGTAAAAACTGGGTGGCTGCCATTGAGGCGGGGAGGGATGATTAGGCAATGCAAACACAATGTGCAACAGTAGAGATTATAGGTGATCAAATGCAAGTGTCTGAAAGTTAATTTACAGGGGCAATGAGTTATCTGTGGCGTTTAACAAAGTCTATTGGCAACCAGCAGAAATTGCCACAAACATCAATAAACGTATATTTCTTGGTACACAAGAGTTTGGCAAAGTCTTCCCTTGTCCCCATTTACTTAACCCTCTCAAGGCAAGCGTTGCCGATTTGCAACAGTTAAAAACTAACAACCTTTATGAGGTTCTTTTTACTCAGAAGTACCACTGCAGGACTTGGTTGTGCATTAGCAACAAAAAGTTTAATTTGAGCCTGAGAGCGTTAATGACAGCACAGACTGAACAGACAGTACATAACAGGACTAGAGGAGGGGAGAGGTTGCTGTATATGTGGTTTAATAATTAAATATACTGCTGGTACTGACTCAGGAATACCGACATGTAACCTCAAATAAAAAGATGTTCTATATTTTTCTTATTGTCTGAAAGTTCAAATGTCAAAATCATGACATGATCTTGTTAAATGATTTGTTGCAGCCTGTTTAGATTAGCCTCCTACCATTCATCAGACCCCTCTTTAAAGTTAACATAACACGCTTGGCTGCTCAAAGGTATCTTTTACAAAGAAAAGCCATTATGACAAAATATGTAAAAGTCTTTATTTGGCAGCTACAGTTACTTCTAGTTTTCTGAAAATAAGCATTTTTTCTTAAGCATGTGGCTACAATACAACCGGACCTTATCGCTAAGTGGTTTGCTGGCATGTGGTGAATAACACTGGCCTACAGTCAAACTGCTTTTGATATAAATGTAGTCAGACATTACTAATTTAGTGTTACAGCAACTGAAAATGATGCTTAAAATTTTCAGTCATTATATGCTATTCTCTTAGTTTAAAGATCAAAAGTTATCAATCAAAACCAAAAAATGACTTAAATACATTTTGACTGTTGAATGTTGGAGAAAAAAAGGCCCAAATGGGGATATGTGTTGATTTTCAGGTGACCATTCGTCCTATAATATGCATCCAATTTTCCATTTTATATCACAATGTACTGTTCTCTTGTGATTGTTAGTGATGAAACCAACATTTTTTGGATTCTAGATCCAATCTAATCCAAAATGCTGCAGCAAGAATACTGACAGGGACTAGAAAGAGAGAGCAGATATCTCCTGTTTTGGCTTCCCTTCATTGGCTTCCTGTTAAATCCAGAATTGAATTCAAAATCCTGCTCCTCACATACAAGGTCTTAAATAATCAGGCCCCATCTTATCTTAATGACCTTGTAGTACCATATCACCCTATTAGAGCACTTCGCTCTCGCTCTGCAGGCCTACTTGTTGTTTCTAGAGTATTTAAAAGTAGAATGGGAGGGAGAGCCTTCAGTTTTCAGGCCCCTCTTCTGTGGAACCAGCTTCCAGTTTGGATTCAGGAGACAGACACTATCTCTACTTTCAAGATTAGGCTTAAAGCTTTCCTTTTTGCTAAAGCATATAGTTAGGGCTGGACCAGGTGACCCTGAATCCTCCCTTAGTTATGCTGCAATAGACATAGGCTGCCGGGGGATTCCCATGATGCATTGAGTTTTTCCTTTCCAGTCACCTTTCTCACTCACTATGTGTTAATAGACCTCTCTGCATTGAATCATATCTGTTATTAATCTCTGTCTCTCTTCCACAGCATGTCTTTTATCCTGTCTTCCTTCTCTCACCCCAACCGGTCGCAGCAGATGGCCGCCCCTCCCTGAGCCTGGTTCTGCCGGAGGTTTCTTCCTGTTAAAAGGGAGTTTTTCCTTCCCACTGTTGCCAAAGTGCTTGCTCATAGGGGGTCATATGATTGTTGGGTTTTTCTCTGTATCTATGAAGCGCCTTGAGGCGACTTATGTTGTGAATTGAATTGAATAGATAATTGATGAAACTGACATTTTGCAATGCCACAACATCCCACCTAGGCTCAACACCCTGACCTGGCTTGGACAGCTCTAATTAAATTCGGAGCAGCTGTTATTTATTTTAACTGATATAAAATAATGCTTTATTTTCTAATGTGATGTTTCATATTAAGTCTGTTCTATACCGACTGTTTCCCAATTTTTAAGATGTTGCGATTTAAAATACTTGTTGGTAACCATAAATAGATACAAGTTTGACAATTTAGTCAAATTGAAATTGAAACACCTTGGTATTTTAATTGTCATATCTGGATTCAGCACATTTTAATCTGCATGCTTAGAGGTTAAATTGATACTGCTGATTCCTTTGCAGAGCATCTGTTAGTGTAATGCTTCAAATCCACAAGGAGCAGAAGTATCCGTCAGCATACCGAAGGTCTAGTAATGTGCTGCTTAAAACAGTCTCCAACAAAAGCACTATTTATTTCTGTTTCAAAGGTGTTGCTAAAACCTTTGAGCATTTTAAGTTTTAGCAATCAGCCCCTTTCTACTTATGGATAGTTTAATCGCATCCTTTGTCTGATCCTAAGTACTTTTGACCTTAATGGAAAACATCGTGATGAGATGGAAAGGTAAAGGACAACTGAAGGACAATTTATAGGGACTTAGGTAAAGTAGTGAAATGACGTGCTCAGAGAATCCGGCTGCACTTATAGTAAGTGGATTAATGATATGGTTGATGACACACCATTTTATTGTAGTAAGACTTTACCTAAGATATTTGTTTGTCTTGTATAACAATAGAGACCTTAAAGGGGCTTCATAAAATGGATTTCCTGGACTCTACTAAATTAAACTGTTTAGGAACAGCATGTGCGGGTGGGTATCTCTGTCTGAGATGATCATATTAGGAATATGCCCTCTGAATATGCCTGAAACAGAGTATTTAAAGCGGTTTGAAGGCTGAGCTTTTGTCTCATGGCCTAAACTCATTATTTCAACCTTTGCCATGTTTAAATTAAATACAAGCATGCACTATTGTAATACAGGGTGGGCCATTTATATGGATACACCGTAATAACATGGGAATGGTTGGTGATATTAAAGTCCTGTTTGTGGCACATTAGTATATGTGAGGGGGCAAACTCCTCAAGATGGGTGGTGACCATGGTGGCCATTTAGAAGTCGGCCATCTTGGATACAACTTTTGTTTTTTCAATAGGAAGAGGGCCATGTGACACATCAAACTTATTGGTAATGTCACAAGAAAAACAATGGTGTGCTTGGTTTCAACGTAACTTTATTTTTTCATGAGTTATTTACAAGTTTCTCTTAGTTCACAGCCATTGACATGTCAAAGAGATTAACATGAGAGGAGTGGATCGAAATTGTGTTGATGTCTGGTGAACGCAGTAACCGGGTCATTGCAGCAGATTTCAATGCAAGACACCCTACGAGACCACCCATCTCCCATGCTACAGTTAGCAAACTGCTTGCTAAGTTTCGTGAAACTGGTTCAGTGTCGATTTGCCAAAATGTGGATGCAAGAAAACTGTCACTAATGAAGAAACATCAGTGGCTGTCCTAGCTTCACTCAGCAAGAGCCCACAGCATAGCACTCGCCGCATGTCACTGGAGAGTGGCATTAGTCGAACATCCCTTCGGCAGATATTAGCTAAATGGCACCCTTACAAAATCCAGCTACTGCAGCATCTCAACAAGGATGACCCAGATCGGCGCACAGAATTTGCAGAATGAGCAAAACAAAAATTGGAACAGGACCCTCAGTTCACGCAGAAGATTTTGGGGCGACTGTGGCTCAGGGGGTTGGGAATCGCATCTGTAACCGGAAGGTCGCCGCTTCGATCCCTGGGCTCTCTGTCCTGGTCGTTGTGTCCTTGGGCAAGACACTTTACCCTACCGCCTACTGGTGTTAGCCAGAGGGGCCGATGGCGCGATATGGCAGCCTCGCCTCTGTCAGTCTGCCCCAGGGCAGCTGTGGCTACAACTGTAGCTTGCCTCCACCAGTGTGTGAATGTGAGAGTGAATGAATAGTGGAATTGTAAAGCGCTTTGGGTGCCTTGAAAAGTGCTATATAAATCCAATCCATTATTATTTGTTCAGTGATGAGGCAAACTTTTATGTGAATGGTGAAGTTAACAAAGAAAACCACCGCTATTGGTCTGACACTAACCCACATTGGATGGATCCCTCCAAGACTGTTGGAACATCAAAAGTGATGGTTTGGTGTGGTATATGGGGTACAACGATAGTGGGTCCATTCTTCATCAATGGAAACCTCAAGGCCACTGGATATTTGAAATTGCTACATGATGATGTGTTTCCCTCTTTATGCACTGAAGCTGGCACGTTCCCTGAGTTTTTCCAGCAAGATGGTGCACCACCACATTATGGGTGCCAGGTCCGAGCCT